ACGTGATTAAGGGTGATAAACCCTTTGTACTTATAAACCTGCGTAAAGGTTATCTAAAAATGATACCCTTAATAAAAAATGTAGGTACCTATAAGTGCATCGTCGAAACAGTTGCTCTCTCTAAGGCGATTTTACCGATAAAAAAAAATCAATAATGCGCACATAAAAACAGGATGTGTATAAAATTGTAATTCCATTGTAAATTGTTAAAGAACGTATTTAACGCTTGTATGACCTGTCACCTCTTGACACCACGTCATTCTTTTACATACTACACGCATTTATTTAAAAGCACAACATACATACATACAACTTTCGACGATCGTTGTATTGGACTTCCCTATACAGAGAGCTACAGAACCGGACTTGAATTTAACCTTTTAACACTATATTATCGATAATAATACTTTACACAATTAGAAAGTTAACGTTAAAAAAATCACGATACGTTTCACCGCACTATACGAAGTCAAATTCGCAGTCATTCAATCCGCAACCATCCCCTATAAAAATTTTAATCACTCGCCCCTATTTGCTTTGCCACAATCTTTGTTTGTTTTTGTTTCGATATTCGATTGAAGAAAAATACAAGCAACTAGCTCCAAATCACATTCAAGTGTCAAACAAAGAAGTTAATCTACAGAATAAATTTCGAAAACCGTTCAGCTGCACGGCCGTAGAGGTATATATGGATTATTCGCAAAAAAAATCACACGATAATTTGTAAAATTTCGAATGGATTTTTTTTTCAAGTAAATTGTTAATGAATTTTACTGGTAAATTATATCGCTGTAACATGGCTATTAAGTAAAAGTTGAAACACTTATTCGTTAACGTAATTATGTAGCACGTCTTACCTATACAGCAATTCACTTTTTGTCCATTTCCAGGCATCAGAGATACTCGACAGATAGAGATGAAAAAAAAAAAAATTAAATTCCTTTTACCGCGAGGTCCATTATCCGACAGTGCCGTTAATGATGTTACAGTAATTTTACGTATAATTTTGTTCTTAAAAAACTCGGGACTCGCTCATGACAAAAGCTGAATGCCACGTGCTCAGCCAGAGGAGCAAATAAGAACTTTTTTACTAGGGTAGATATTGGGGCATCAAGTTACAATTGTACTCTCTGCATAAATCTATTGTGGTTTGTCGGAGGGATGCTGTGAATGAGATGAGACACAGCGTTTTCTATTGTGACTAGAATATTCAATATCATGTTTGTATTTCATGTCCAAATCTGCCATACTAATTTCCCGATTTTCGTCACCGAAAATTTCTTTTTATTAAAACAGCAGGTAGGATATTTTCTGCATTTTTAATCTACGCGCGATTTACCGTCCTGTGCATATATTTACCGAGCGCTGTCCCTTTCATCCCACAACTTGTGTGTGTATGTGTGTCTATTCCTTTGATTATTTTAATTAATTAATTAAATAAATTCCCATCAACCATCGAATAATGGCGGAACATTTGGTAGGTAGTTAGGTACCTATTCCAATTTCGAAAATTGCCCATTACTCCCTTGCGCAGAGGTAAACAAATGGATGCCCAACGTGGAAGAGTTTTACATCCGACGCTGGTTATAAATAAGTTTCGGCTTTTATTGGAGTTATGACTGAAGAAGCATCTTTTAACAAAGAAACTTTGTAAATGAACAATTGAAAGGATTATGGAAACTTCAAAATCCTGCTTCTCTCTATGAAGTCGAGCAATATTAGGAAGTTTTAATTGTCCTCGTTCCCATTAAAAATTGATGAACATAGATTAGCGTGGAAGGGTGTCTTTAATAATTAATTTTGAAAAGTCCTCGCAAAGAATAACACGGAGTAACGTGAATAATCTACGGCGTATTTTGCAAACTTTTGCTATTTTGATTGTATTATAGGTACGCCAAATGTCATTATATTCAATTATAACATTTGAAACACGAGTACTTAGCTATTTTAACATACTATTAACTCTTGGTACTGTCGTTAAAAAACTCTATTGATTTGTATCCTTTGAAATGTTTCTTCTTAAGTATAGGATCGAGCGTAACATTTCGCTATAGACGTACGAATAAAAATGCGAATTTACCCATTAACATAGCTAAGTTGCATGTTAATTACATTTCGTTCTTAAAATAGCTATGAAAATGCATGACCTCTTCTTATTCATTTGACACGGCTCTATAAATACGCTGTTAAATACGATTGTCTCGTGTTTCGAACTTTTTTCGATCCATTGAGAATTTCTGTCAGCTGTTAGATGACGGCACATATGCTTGTAGTAATTAACATTAACATTAAAACTAATTCGCTCGATATTAATGCATGTATGTAGGTACGTTATACCTATTATAAAAAATTCTTGCTGATGGTATTTCGTAAATACATTCAAATATTAAGTTTATCAGCAAACTATTCGGTACATTTAACTGAAAAGTCGTTAGAAGGAAAGTCACCGTGAAGGGCATCACATACAAGTGCAAAAAATTCGCGTGACATTTTTTATTCTTCGCGCATCATTTAATGTTCGGAGATAAAAACATTGATTTGCGAAATAAGTGAATTTAATTTTTCATTACTTCCTATACCGAAAAATTTGCATAGAAATAAGTTCTTGCGCAAAGAATTTTCTGTATCTTGAACACGATTAGAATTCCAATTAACGTCGAATTAAAAAAATAAAAACGCATTAAACTTTCAGATGGAGTTGTTATTAATTTTTAGTACGAGTTTTTCGAATCAACATTACGTTACCGAACCTTACTGTATACAGTAAGAGTTCACTAATTACCGTTAATAAAACTCTACGTATATTAAATTTAATTGTAGAAGGAAAAACAATCGAGCGAGATATTTTTAACTTTCTTAAATTGCGGTTATGGTTACGCAATTCGTCGTTATATTTATTGTTATTTGTGATGCAGCTGGTGTTTTTAAACAATTTAAGTTTGCTACATCGGTAATTATAAGAGGAGTTGTTAGTAACACTTGTCCTTAATTGTCCCAAGCACGACGAATATTTCATACTTTATTCACCATTGCTTTATTCTTCTCGTTCATTGATAATTAAATGTACCCAATGTTACACCAATTAATTTTCTCGGAACGTCAAACCACTTAATGGACCAATAGAATAAATTTAGTACATACCGGGATTTATCTTTTACTCCGCTATTTATGAACAATCGAGATTTTTCGAATCGATCAATTCGTTTAAAAAATGTGCGTGTTGGGTAATTATATTATCTTAATTGAAACAATCAAGTAAGTTGCACAAAGGGCTCTTAATGTGTTGATAAACTTATAAAAGAAATGAGCATTTTTTCCTAGTGAAAAGCCATCTGGAGCGAGTAAGGAATCCTCATTAAATAGACCATATTGCCTGAAAATGCCTGCCCTGACATTCATTCTTAGTTTTCCTTTGCAGCGGCGGATTCGCTAACAAAAATTCATCAAATTTATTAATATACAACGGGTCTTCTTATATTTTTTCATTATTATTTTAGCTAATAAGGGTATAATAATAACTTAATTATTGGTGCGTTTTTAAAAGATATGTTTTTATTGATCTACCTGCAATCAAAATCGATTTTTTTTAAATTATTTCACCGACATATAAAATTTTACATTAAACTTATGCGTCGCTTGATTTATTAGAATGAAATTATTTCTTCCAACTCCGCCACTGCTCCCTTGTTCTGAAGTAATCATTTTCATTAGTATTTTTGGGAACATGATCTTATTACTATTGTTATAAATCTTGGTTCATTAATCCGAATGAGTGATAAATTATCCCCATCACAGGGTCAGTAGGGAGCTGATGAAGTTTCTCTTACTCCTTAGCTCGATCTTTCTCCGGAATGAAAATTCACGTATTATTAATCCTGCAATTTTTCCTGATGGAATTGGGAGAATGCTACTTATATCGAAACTAATTAAATTTATATAGTAGTACCTATAGGAAAATGTAAGTATAGCATTCGATTTGGATCGTCCCGTATAGATTAGGAGAATAAGGATAATAATTCGATAAATTCGATAAAAAGAGGCGAATATGTCCTTTCCAAGCCACCCGTTGCGACGCATCTGTAATGCCGTAAGCCGTAACTAAATCCTGTTAAAAATCAGTTGAGAAAAAATCTGATCTACTTTGTTATGCACCCTTATCTTTAGCAGTGGCCCTACTAGCACTATTTCATTGTGATTTATCTGCACTTCGGCGAAGGAATCGAAAAAACTAGTCGGAATCAATCAAGCATTACTTTTCTGGAGTAGAGGAGACCTGCGGAAGATATAGTAGGTGGGTCAATGCGGGGTCAGTGTCAGCACCAAAACTGTGGTGGTGTCTTCGACGGTTATACTTTTTTTTTTTTTGATTTTTTCTTTTGCCTCTTTCTACCTCCGACTAATCTAATAAATTGTTTTGTTTTTCTCCATCTGATGCGGTACTACTACTACTACTACAACGGCCGACGACCCACTTTGTTTTAAAAGGACACGTGTTGGTTCTTTTAGGAACCAGCTCGACATAGAACGCGTTTATAATTAAATGCTAATTTGCTTACACAATCAATTTATATCAAACTAAATAGTAATAAATTCGGAAAGACTAATTAGCTTAATTCGAAAAATTAAGCGGTAAATAATTTAGTGTGTTTCGAAAAGTAGGAGCTGCTGTTGTGAGTTTTAAAATGCACCCTTTTTGCCATCCGCAAATCGCAGGAGCTCCCGCAAAATTTATTTGTCTAAAAACTGACACTCTATTAAAATATACTTACTTTGAATTGTAAATATTAATGCGTTTAATAAATTCCAAACATCAAACTTCGGAAAGTTCTGTTTTAAATTTGCATTAGACAGTTTTAGCAAAAACCGACCTCAGAAATTTAACGGTTTTAACGAAACGGGACGTCGATTTTCTAAAAATGTATTATTTATTATGTATAAATTTTTCTTATAGATTTCTAGGCGAATGGGGGGTTTCATAGAACGTACTCTTTTTGTTTCAGATGCTTGTGGTTTAAGCGACGTTGCTCACATCGAATCGATCCAAGAAAAATCCCAATGCGCATTGGAAGAGTACTGCCGATCTCAATATCCCAATCAACCGACCAGATTCGGTAAATTGTTACTGCGTCTGCCAAGTTTGAGGACTGTCAGTTCGGCAGTGATCGAACAATTGTTTTTCGTTAGACTTGTCGGTAAAACGCCCATCGAAACCCTGATTAGAGATATGCTTTTGTCTGGTAGTTCATTTTCGTGGCCGTACATGTGATACTTGAAATTGTACTAGGTGTACTAGTCAAAAATAATTATGTTGTATGTATACCGATGTTATGTAATTGGTAAAAAGCAGTTGGTAATATTTATTCAATTTATAACGACCAAAAAAATTTTCAATAATTTGCTAAGTACATAACTGTTTTGGTCTAATGAAATTGTTCAAATTTACCGATATTCTGCTTTTTGTCAAATAATAATTTGGCTTTAAAAATTTTACAGATTTGACCACGACGTTTAATTCATTTTATATAAAAAACTTGTGTATCTTTCGGCTCAATGAATTAAAAATTTACCCCTATACTCATGGTGTTGTTGTGTTAGAAATTTCATTGGAAATTGAAATTGAACTCTCAATTTTAGTACATTATTCAGATATTTGCTACAATTGAGTAACAATTCAGCTGATCGATTTTCGTAAAGACTTAGTGGTCAAATTTAAAGTTTTCAACATTGCTCCTTGTAGAATAAATCAAAACCATCAATAAACGTGAATATTATTTAATGATCACCGAATATCATGAGATTCCAATTTGTCAAGCACCGGTTTATTTTCTTTTAGTAAACTTTGCCAAAGGCTCGTGTTAAGATTACAAATGCTCTTCAATATATCCATATAGTTTGAACTCGATGGATTCTTACGATTAGTTGAATTTTGAACTTGTAGGGTAAAACCGATATTTGGTATTTTTAGTAGCGTGCGTCATATAAGAAGTTTTCCAGATAAGGATGTAATAACTTGTACTGTTTTAAAACAGATTAATAGGACATATCAGAAGGAGCAAAGTCGAGCAAATATCAAATCGCCAAAAATAATTGACTGGGTAATACTCAGATTAAATAAATGTTCCTTTTTATATCAAAAAAATATTGTAGATGTATGTTAAAAGTAACAAACCTATTATATGTAAATGTAATGGTAATATATTTTACTTGATAATTAATGTAATATATGTAAATAGAATCAAAGTAAACATGGGGTGGCTGATTGTTAAAAATTATTTATTTAAATTTTTGTAAAAATCTGTGAGTAACATATATGAGTGCAACGTATTAATGAACATCGACGATTTTGTAGACAATATGTATAATTAGTTCCAAGTTGGCATTGAATTTATCACTTACACTAATGTAAGTTTTCAAATTTTTTTTATTGTTTTTAAAAATTCATTCTCAGAGTAATTTCCAATCTAGGTAATAATGGTAACTAAATAATTATTAGTTGTAATAGTTTTTACAAAATTTGTCGATGTTAAGAGACGTGTTAAAACTGCGATTTAATAACCAAATTAATTAACCATAATTCACGACTATAGATTAACAATGATCGTCTCTAATAAAATGAATTGGCAAATTTAACATGTAATTGCATAAACATTTTAGTGATGTATTATGTTGGTTTTTTTTAATATCGTCCAAATTGCTAGTTCTTTTAGAATTAATACGTTTTTTGTTATAATTCTTAAACAACCAAATATTTATATTTATTAAGATTTTTTTTAATTAATTCATTTTTTGAGTTAATTTCTTTTAGTCAATGTTTAGAATTGTTTTTTTATGGTTTTTAAGTAGTTGTTAATTGTTATCTTGTTATTTTTAATTATTGTTATGTATTTTCGCCTAAGTTTCATGTCATCTATTCACATGGCCAGTTTTCAAAGTATTTTGATTTTAATTTTTCTGCACATTGTGTTTTACGTACTTAGAAGAACATTGAGTTTACTAAAATGTTTCAAATGATAATACTGAAAAGATTGTAGTCATATTTTTTTTATTATTTAATGTTTATATATAAGATCTTAAATCAAAATTTACCAAGTAAATAGTTCTGTGTTAAATCTTTTCGGTATTTTTTTTTTCTATGATAATTCCTAGCACGTTTTTGTTTGTTGTTTCTTACATGGTTTGTACCTTAATGTAGCGTTTAGTTAATAGTGCAATCAATTCTTTAATGGGATGTCACTTTTGCATCAGATGTAATTGTACAATAAGACGAAATTTGGCTTTGAAAAGGCCAGTGCCAATAAATAAAATAATGAAAAATAGTAAAGATTTCTCATAAAAATATTTGTAATAAATTGTGTAAATAAGTGAATGTATACTTAACGAAATAACTGTATTTATGTCATATATTTCTTTGAAAATAAATTTGAGTTTCGCAGGGATGAATTTTCTTTATTTTAAATAAAAAAAACCGATATATTTTAACAAGTTTAATAAAATCATCAAGATCGCTTAATATTGCCGCAAAGGACTCTTAGGAATAGATGTGAGGAAATCCCCGAGACCCTTGAATGACCACAGCTTTACCAGAATATCAAAATATGGTAATTTATTCCAAAGAGTTAGGGCCAAATAAAGTAACAAAATGTGTCTGGAAATCGTTCCATATAACCACTGCATAAAAAATACATAATCGCTGAATGTGAATTTGAAATAAATGTCGAAAGGTACCTCGAAGGGGCTGGGGTTGTCGCATTCCGAATAACAGAAGAATCTTTTCATTTAAAATTCTCCTACGCTCGAACTTAAATCGGTAGATGTACGATTGGTTAATTTGATAATTCCGAATTTTCCGGGTAATTGCGCTTCCTCAAAAGGCAACAGGTGTTCGAAACATCGACGCCTATTATAAATAATTTGTTACGCGAACTTTTTTCATGATTGATGGTTTTGGCATGTTTGAGCGATACCTCAACTTGCCAACATTATGTAGTATATTTCGTCGAGAGCGGTGTTTTTGATGGCTCATAATGCGAATCGTGAGGTACATTACAACCTCATTCTTGCATTATGAACCGAACATATTGATTTTTCGGTCTCGAAACTAAGAAAGAGTCTCTCACTGAAGATGGCCCGCGTTATTTTAGCTCTTTAATCAAGATGCAAACATCAAAATTCTCATCGTTTATTCTAAGAGAATGTGGCTCCTCGGATTCAGCGAAAGACTAAAACTTTATCTGCATATACCCTTTTGTTTAGTTGCTTTTGCACAACCAGCGGTGGATTGTGCGAAAGGGCGATAACTTAGAGACTCGTTTAAAATGAACAAAAATGAACCGTTCGGGATAAATATCCTCCTTCGAGGTACCTAATTTTCCAGTGAGCTTGTTCATTATTAAAATGGACCGGAACAGAAAGAGCGACAGAATTTCATTGCGGGATTAGTAGTGTCCGATGCAATAAGAGAAAGTAAAAAAAAGGGCGACCAAACTGGTGATTTATGGACCACAAAGTGTTTCCACTGAATTTATCAGGCCATTCAACTTCATGGGTGGCAGAATGTTCTATTACTAGACAGATTGCGAGTGGTTTCGAATATTCCTCTGTTTTGTACATACATATAAGTTATTTTAAATAAATTTAACATATCGTTTTCGACGTCCATCAGCTCGTTTTATCTAATTTGAATTAGACTACAAACAAATACATCAGATAATTGCTTGACTTAAAAATCTTGTAAGCTAAAATGAGTTTTGTAATTGGTGATTTCTTTTCAAAAAAGCCGCTAATATCGTTTGTTGCACCTCGGACAGCTTACGATTAATAGCTCTTCTGTTTTCAACCAGTGGCAGTGGTATGAACAACAGTTATTAATTCAACAGACACAAAAAAAATCCACTTTACTTTTGTATCAACTCGGTAAATATATGTATTGTGTGATTAATCGAGCTAGTATATTAATCTAATACGCAACCGAATGAGGAATATAATAATAGATATAATAATCTTCCCGCTTGAGTACATATAAGAAGATTCATTGTTGCTTTTGCAAGTGTAGAATTTCTAAATATGCAAAACTATTGATGTATATTAAAATATATGTAGGTATGTAGAAGGATATATTTTTTGACTTGGGGGGATTTCTATAGAGAAAAATTTAAATAAGTGGTTTCCGAAGGGTACGGCACTGATTACCCCGAAAGGGTATTTTAATGTTTAAGAAGGCGTATAAAAGCGCACTCAAAATGAGTGAATATCAGTTATTCTTGTTCTTGATAGCCATTATAGAGTAAGCATCTTCATAAATTGCAACAAATGCCAATTAGTTTCGAATAAATTTTCTCTAAATGACAAAATATTTTTATTATTGCACCGTCATAAATCGCGGTGAAGGGAAAAATATAAATTTTACGGTCTCTTTTTATATATTTACTTAAGGTACATCTGATTATGATCAATTCAAAGCACAATAATTAACGCCGGAAACAATCATAAATGAACTATAAAAAATTAATAACCGCTTCGATTAGATGTATTACCTACATATAAATTGGGATAAAACCGACAGTGCTTGTTATCGAACTCGTTAACGGTCAAGAACGAACGAGTTATACATTTTCTATTTGAGCAATTTCCACAGTAATAACCCGCTTGCATTTATTAGTGTACTAGAAAAAAAAATTCATTCCAGTCGGGTACTTAATGCTTAATTTATTAATTACCGTATAATAAATGATGACTACTAGCATCTTACTTATTTCATTAATAATCTAGTAATTAGCCGACCGTGCATGAACAACACATCCTTTAATCTAATAACGCCCCGAGTAACTTGCGTAAAATAAAAGGAGCTTTTTAATGGGGTTGTTAATTATTGCTAATTCACAGTTGGATAGTTGCATGGGAAAGAAATATTTAAACATGCCACATGCCCATCGAGCATCAGATTAATACGTGCAGTGCAGATATGTGAATTTATTTACTATATTCTAGTACATAGCAAAAAAAATTGTAATATATTTAGCGAACGGGCGTCCCTGTATTTATATGTATAGGTATATAAACGCGCCGCTACTTCGCCTTTTATGTGCCTCGATAATTACTTACCTTACTCCCTTTTCGCATACATTTCGAACAAAGTGCTTCGCGTCCTTCATTTCATTCCAGTCAGTTGATTATCCTGTCGAGAAAGAGGAATCCGTATCCGAGGATAAGGAAGGAGCGTCAGGCCCGACAGGAAGCGTGGGCGTATCTATTGACACTTTTCTAGTA